AGATTGGCGTAGGGCTGTGGAGAGGCCTGCCCAGTGCACGATGCTTACATCATGAGGTGCCCATGGTTTGTTGCACTGTGCTCTTTATGTTTCCTGTTCTCTTTTCCTGAGCAGAGATAAGTGTGCTGTCAGCACCCTAAGAAAAGGTCGACAACTCTGGGGAACCTTTCCTTAAAAAAGGTCAACAACTTTGGAGCCCGCCCCCCTAAATAAAGGGCAACAACTCTGGGCAACCTGGGGGGGGGGGCTCGCGCCGGGCGGATCTTTGCACCCCGGTGCTGCATATGCTTGAGATGGTCCTGTAGCAGGAAGAAGGTCTAAGTCACGGCTGGGAAACCTGTTTCCCTTCAGATGTTGCTAGACTACAAGTCCACCATCTCTGACTATTGGCCATGGGGCTGATGAAAGTTGGAGTCCAGCAACATCTGGAAGTGCCCCACTCCTAGTCTGAGCACTCTTCGTTTCCAGCTGACTTGCAAGGGATTGACATACAAATAAGCGTTAAAATCATTTGATTCAAGCTTATGAACCTTCACACATTATATAGACACACACACACACCCCGCTTCAAAGAATCAGTTCATTTTGACTGTTAAGATGGACTGTTTAAGAAGAGAAGAAGAAGAGTTTGGATTTGATATTCTGCTTTATCACTACCCGAAGGAGTCTCAAAGCGGCTAACAATCTCCTTTTCCTTCCTCCCCCACAACAAACACTCTGGGAGGTGAGTGAGGCTGAGAGACTTCAGAGAAGTGTGACTGGCCCAAGGTCACCCAGCAGCTGCATGTGGAGGAGCGGGGAAGCAGATTACCAGATTACGAGTCCACCGCTCTTAACCACTACACCACACTGGCTCTCGTAAGAGCAATCGTAAATTCTTTAGGTTTCTTCTGAAAAGTACTTTAAAATTCTCATGGGGGGATCCTAACAAATTCAACTTTCTTAGAGCTTCCATTATATATTTTTTTTAATAAAATCAAAGGATATAAATCATAAGACTGCATCGTGTCCTTACGGTGCTTAAAAAGTGGATTTGCCAAGCGCATCACTCACGTGATTGCAAAGAAAAGCTTAGAAATACATATGTGAAATGGCACAGAGGCCACAGAAGGAACTATATAGCTGGGCAAAACTTAAGCACACAAAGAAGTTTACTTGACTTCCTCAAATAATTGTGTGTTAAAAAAAAAAAGGCATTAATCCAGCAAATGGCCAACAGTGATTTTAAATCTAGCAGATCCAATATTCTAGCCGAGTAATATTATTAAATAACATAGTATATATGGTGCAAATTAAAAGTGAAGTTCCGCTTCCCTTCAAACCATTATTGAAGACAAACAGCTATAAGGCAGTGTAGAAATCGTAAATTAATAGAACGGAAGATGTAGTGTAAATAAGTATCAATAATAGTAACTGCAACAGACGTTGCAGGAAATAGCGAAACCTACTTCACTCTACTAAAATGAAGTAGAATTCAGCAGTGTTCTGTACCGCAGTGATGGAGAACAAGGAACAAAACCACCATCACTGCAACATTCCCATGCAATACATTGATGAAATATACTCAGAGTCGCAAAGTGATTTCATGCTCTTTATTCAGCTCATAGTGGTGAGGAGGAATGAATGGAAGTCCCCTCACAGTATCTGCTTTATATACATTATTTACACAATGGGCTGCACATGATTGGCTAATTCCGAATTCTACTGTAAGCCGATCAGGTTGTGGATTCACTTCTATCTGGAGCAGGATTGGGTGGTTCCTGCCAACCAATCATACTGCTGCATTGTTCTAGGACCAATCAGACTGCTGCATTCTGAATCCTATTGTTCTAGGACCAATCAGACTGCTGCATTTTGGATCCTATTGTTCTAGGACCAATCAGACTGCTGCGGTTTGGATCCTATTCAACTCAGTACATAACAATTGACCAAGAAGATTTTACTCACAAAGAGGACTGGTGGGCTTTGAAAAAATGGCGGACAAGGTGGACCAGCAACAAACCACAAAAACTGTAGAAGAGCCCTTGGATCTCATCAGACTCAGTCTTGATGAACGAATTTATGTAAAAATGAGAAATGACTGAGAACTTCGAGGCAGATTACATGCTTATGACCAGCACTTAAATATGATTTTGGGTGATGTTGAGGAGACTGTGACAACAATAGAAATTGATGAAGAAACCTATGAAGAGATTTATAAATCTACCAAAAGGAATATTCCGATGCTGTTTGTCCAAGGAGATAGAGTCGTACTTGTAGCTCCTCCACTGAGGGTTGGCTGAAACCATGAAAAAAATGGTCATCATTTAGAAAATGTTGGACCTCTGGACACTGTCTTCTGATACCCTTAAACATTAAGATTCTGCCCTTAATTCTGAAAGACCATCCAAACCATATTGTTGTGAAGGCGTAAGATCATTTGGCATATGTTGATATAAGGGTTTTTTTCCGGAATAACTTAAGTGCAGGTGTCGTTATGTTTCAAATCAGTGGATATAACCATTTTAGTTGCGCTTGTGGCCGCTGATCTTTTTTAAGAAATAAATCTGTTTGGGTTTTTTAGAAATTAAACACACACACACACACACACACAAAAAAAAAAACAAAGAGGAGTGGTATTTCTTCTGCCCAAGGAAGAAAGGTGCATTCTATTCCACCATTACTTACCATGCTGTAAATGGGGCTCATGGGAATGATATACTGATATCACTCTCTGTTTGCAGCAACCAGTCTTCATTTCTTTTAAAGATGCTAAAGGGGGGCAGGGAATAAGTATCTGATGTAGATTAAAATCTACTTTGTGCCCATAACGTTCTTTGGGAATTGTTAATCGGTGATAATATGACTCTATAAAAGCTAGCAAGATGCAGTCATTAGAAAGATTTGCTGTTCTTTCATAATGTGGCATTTAGAAAGGTACAACTTATTTCAGTTCTCCCCCCCCCCCATTATTATTTTTACAACATAGCACTGTTTTCAGAAAGAGAGCTGTTATTTTACAATCAAATCCCGCAAACACACACACACACACACAAAGACACACACACATATATATACAGATCCTATTTTCCAGGGACAGTCCCAGATTTACAGAAGCTGTCCCGGTTTCTGATTTGATCCCAGAATGCCCCACTTTTCCTTAGGATGTCCCAATTTTCATCCGAGAAATGTTGGAGGTATGGAAGGTGTCCCTATTTTCATCAGAGAAATGATGTGGGGTATGTATGTACATATACCTGTGTACGATTGGAAATTTGGCAGACAAGAGAACAACCTGAAATTAAACAGTCCTAGAACTCTCTGTCTTCTTATTCTGCAAGCACTTTTGCCCTTTGTTCTGATGAGCAAATAGGAATGAAATCAGCAAGGCACTTACTGTTGAAGTTTAAAGCTACCAGTGTTTCGGCAGGACTATAGATACTGTGCCAAACTTTCTACAGTACTTCACAATAAGAGCAGGAGTTGTCAGCCTGAAATTGCACCAATTAACTGCAAGCCCATTCATGGGGAATAAGAACACAACATTGCCCATTGCTCTGAAAGGAGAAGTCTATCCTTCGGGAAAGATTTCTCATACATAATTGGGTACAAAAGTACTGATGGCTCTGCGTGACCCTCTCTCTCTCTAAAAAAAATATGTCAGTATTAATCTATCTGGTATCAGGATCAAATATACCCCAAGAAAAACATACAAATATATCTGATTTGCACGTAAAACCAATACATGCCTTCATTAAGAACTTTCCTTCCTCAGTGAAGTGATATAGTTGCAAATCCAATAATATAAAGCACAAAAACTGACATGAACATTATGTGGCGTCCAAATGACCACACTGCTGTTGTTTGTTAACTTTGAGCCATTTACATACTTATAATTATAACCGTTGTACAGTATAATTGTACAGTACAGTATAGTACAAAGACCATGAGTTGTGAATCACATATTAATCAAGCAGCCTATTCATAACCACATTTCACATATTTCTCTGCTTGTTTTTTGGGAAATTTGTATGAAAATAGTATACATGAGAGAGATACTCCTGGCGTAAGAAACCTTTCAAATTACAGACTGTGGATCCAGGAGTGATGTGTGAGTGTAAGAAATAAAAGGGACTTGCCACAAAGGCAGAAAGACTTGAATGTCCAGCATTTTCTAAGCAGGCACTACGAACGGAACTAGCAAGGAACACAGAACAGACAAGAACAAGGCAATGCAGTACATTTATGTCCCTTCTCCAAAACAGCGTAGCTTTTGTGGGAGAAAACAGTGTAGCAAGCTTGGGATGAAAGGTTCCCATTTTTGCACATCCTGTCTGCAAAGTGAGTTTAGGTAGGTGTGAAAGGATACAGAAATATAGGATGGGGTTGCCACTGTTTCAGTTGCTTGTGAGCAAATTTAAACCAGGGTGAAAGTGTCATGGCTTCAGCAAGGAGGGAAACAAAGACAGGAATGTCCTCCCCAGTGGAAAGGTCAGACTTGCTCCTGTGATATTTCGATGCGATTGCACAAAACATTTTCCACACCCAGCTGTTGCCAGGGTTAGAAACTCTCCTGATTTTAGCAAATTCTCCTGCCTTCTTTTTACATTTATATTGATTGCTTTTATAGTCTGTTCCGTGCTATTTGATCTAATTGTAAGCAACTCTGAGAGGCATATAACTGATTAAAGGGGATGGAAATCTAAATAGGCATGGCAAATAAATAAAGCAGAGACGTTGACGAGATCCTGGCCGCAGAAGCGAAGTAGGGGGACGAGAGGCAAGTAGCAGGACAGGAATATTTCAGAGCACACAACCTCTGTTACCCATAATTAAATAAAATATTATGCTTATCTTAAAATATTATATATCACTCATACTACAGGGGAATAAAATTGCTATCAAGGCAACCCTGAACCATGCAATGTGGTTCTTAAAATAAAATATAGATCTCTCACCTAATGTGTGTTGAGAAGCCAGGGGCTCTGGGACCATCAATTTTATCATATGTTCTCTACTTCCATTTTTCCTCACCAGAACATTCTAGTGAACACATTGAATAACCCCTTATCATAACAGTAAGTTTCTTTCATCAACCTTGACAAGCGATTTGCAGCTTTTGTTATCTGCTCTAACATAAGCCAGCAGTAATTCCCCTCCCTGTTTGCACACATGATTCCAGATGATTAAAAAGAATCCAAAAGAATGTTCCCCTTTTTTCAGCGGGGATAGGTGGGAGGGATAGCATTAACCTTTGGAGCAGAATTGAATGGATAGTTATTTCAAAAAATAAAAGTCATCCTGTAATGCAGGAACATGAATAATATACATTACCAGATGCATCTATTCACAGGCAGTGAATGGGAGCTCAGGAGGTACAAATATTGGAAAGAAGATAGGGAGGTGCTTGCGCCTTGCCCTGGGGAGTTATGAAATTGACTACCAGAAGACAAAGCTCTCCTCTGGGGTGCCTGCAAGGGAAAAGGAAGGGAAATGGAAGAGGCAAGACTAGAATCCTTTCCGTAGATGATCTCTTTAGCTGCATAGGCACACAAAATTAAAGCAACTTCCCTAACACAAAAAGAATTCTGTGAACAGTAGTTTGCAGGCCCTCCGTGTGTTCCTATTTTCCATGGATGTCCCTGATATAGAGAAACCATCCCAGTTTCTGATTTGATCCCGGAATGTCCTGCTTTTCCTTTTTTTTTTTGGAGAAACGTTGGAGGGTATAGTAGGATGTCCCTATTTTCATTAGAGAAACGTTGGAGAGTATGGAGTTATCTGACACCCAAGCTGTCTGAAGGCAATCCTGTATAGGGAAGTTTTGTCATGTTTAATGTTTTATTAGGTTTTTATATATGTTGGAAAATGCACAGAATGGCCGGGGAAACCCAGTAAGGTGTGTGGGGTATAAATAGTAAAATTATAGGTATGGAATGGGACATCCCAATTTTCATCAGAGAAATGTTGGAGGGCATGAGCTTGCCAAGGGTACTTGGAATTGTAGCTCTGAGTTATAATCTACAGTTCCAGACCTTCCAACTGCCCCTATTTGCCAGGGAGAGTCCCAGATTTACAAAGGCCGTCCCGGTTTCTGATTTGATCCCAGAATGTCCCACTTTTCCTTAGGATGTCCCTATTTTCATCAGAGAAATGTTGGAGTGTATGCCACCTGGAACACACTCTTGATTGCATGAGTGGTAAAGGTAAAGGTAAAGGGGACCCCTGACCGTTAAGTCCAGTCGCGGATGACTCTGGGGTTGTGGCACTCATCTCGCTTTATTGGCCGAGGGAGCCAGCGTACAGCTTCCGGGTCATATGGCCAGCCTGACTAAGCCGCTTCTGGCGAACTAGAACAGCACACAGAAACGCCCTTTACCTTCCCCCCGGAGCGGTACCTATTTATCTGCACTTTGACGTGCTTTCGAACCGCTAGGTTGGCAGGAGCAGGGACCGAGCAACAGGAGCTCACCCTGTCGCAGGGATTCGAACCGCCGACCTTCTGATCAGCAAGTCCTAGGCTCTGTGGTTTAACCCACATAATTGTTCAGGAGCCATCACAGATAAAGAGGTGGCTTCTTGATATATGAAGTTCTGCATAGCAGTGAAGGGGATTAGGCATTAGTTTACATACCAAGATACTTCAAATATCTTAATGAACAGAGTTGAAAAATTTGAATATCCAATCAGTTTGCTGCACATCGTCTTTTAAATACAAGATGATAAACAGTCAGGGTGAACACTGAGGGCTACCTGGGAAACATCATGAACCTGATGACTGGATCTAATTTGCGTTTTTAGTTAGCATAATTAACAATTTGCATTAAGGACACCTTCAGGCTTCCTCCGTAGTTTCTACACATGAGCCACGTCAGTTTGAATTGCAGCCTTTTGCAGCATATCTTCATTGAGAAACACATCTTGGCAGCTTCGCTTGTACACGCCATTATAGGGCATGCTGAATTTTGCAATTTTCGACTTCCAAATAATGAGTGGTGCTTACAAGTTCCAACATGACTTGGAAATTCAAATAGTATTTTGGTTAAATTGATATACTGTAATTTAGTTTTGCTTGGTAAGAAAAGTGTGTAAAATTGTATAGAACTCATTTTTAAAAATTGCCAAGACTTGCATGTGTATATTTTATATGTGTGTGTGTGTGTGTGTGTGTGTATAAAATATTGCAATACTGACATTTTCAGAAGATAAAATTAAAATTCTTTTGTTTTCCTAAAGCAGTTTACGTGCTTCTTCAACAAATGTAGACTTACCAAGCTAAATGTTTCCCAATCACAAAAATGGCAGATTTGAATTCCCCCACACACAAAAAGCATGTTCTTAAGACCTCCTCACTAAATAGATTAGCAAAAATTAACTCTCACCCCTAAAAAGGCATGCCCTAATGCCACAGCCACTTGTTTTTCAACAGCTGAGCTTCTGTCTCACTGAGGACCAAAGCAGACATTGCCACAATCTGAACTGTTGCAGAGAATTTCAGCCTAAGCTGTTCCCCCCCACAAAAAATCATATATCTGTTTACAATGCTAGCCAACTGTACAAGATATATATGCCATTATATAATTGTGTAGGACCACAAACCAATATATGACTGGGGGGAAATAGCTTTGCCTGCGATCTTATCTCCCACTTGGACTACAGCAATGCGCTCTACGTGGGGCTACATTTGAAGGTGACCCAGAAACTCCAATTAATCCAGAATGCGGCAGCTAGACTGGTGACTGGGAGTGGCCGCCGGGACCACATAACACCGGTCCTGAGAGATCTGCATTGGCTCCCAGTACGTTTCTGAGCACAGTTCAAAGTGTTGGTGCTGACCTTTAAAGCCCTAAATGGCCTTGGTCCTATAAACCTGAAGGAGCGTCTCCACCCCTATCGTTCAGCCCAGACACTGAGATCCAGCGCCGAGGGCCTTCTGGCGGTTCCCTCATTGAGAGAAGTGAGGTTACAAGGAACCAGGCAGAGGGCCTTCTCAGTAGTGGTGCCCGCCCTGTGGAACACCCTCCCATCAGATGTCAAGGAAATAAGCAGCTATTCCATTTTTAAAAGACATCTGAAGGCAGCCCTGTTTAGGGAAGTTTTTAATATTTAATGCTGTATTGTTTTTAACACTCGATTTGCAGCCGCCCAGAGTGGCTGGGGAAACTCAGCCAGATGGGCAGGGTATAAATTTATTATTATTATTTATTATTATTATTATTATTAGAGTTTGGATTTGATATCCCGCCTTTCACTCCCTTTAAGGAGTCTCAAAGCGGCTAACATTCTCCATTCCCTTCCTCCCCCACAAGAAACACTCTGTGAGGTGAGTGAGGCTGAGAGACTTCAGAGAAGTGTGACTGGCCCAAGGTCACCCAGCAGCTGCATGTGGAGGAGCGGGGAAGCGAACCCGGTTCACCAGATTACGAGACTACCTCTCTTAACCAGTATACCACACTGGCTTTCATATTATTATTATTATACACTTTCCCCCTCCATTATAATTATTAAATTGCAACATTTTTAACATATACAATCAGAACACTATTTTGTTTTTTCCCTCTTAATTTTTGCAACTTCCCACCCAGTTTTCCATGGAGTTATTGCTTCTCCCCTTTTGGTGCACGCTATCTACCTATTAAATCATAATCACAGTATTATAATCTAAATCTTGTACACCGCTGACCTGAAAGCAATTCGTCCTTTAGGGGGCGTCCTTTTGCACCTTTGCTGCTTCTCTTATAGCTGCAGATGAAGTGCCATGTGGATCTTGCCAACAGCTGCCTGGGCAGGTCAGTTTCAAGGGCCTCCTCTAGTCACCTCAGGCCCATGGCTTCCCCATGGAGGCTGCCATGGGGCAGAGGAGGAGCCACCCTCAGCCACAGGCTAAGCCGTGCCAACCCCCAATGTCATTCCGGCCCAGAGCCAGGTAAGGGGCTTGCTTGCCACTGCCACTCCTTCACCTCAGGTGGCAAAATGTCTTGGACCAACCCTCAGCGGAGCATCTTTCAAAGTAGGCACGTACGGTATTGCTCTGTTAAAATATTTCAGCTGACTGACAGGAGAAATAGCCCTGCGCTCATTGCAGGGAACCGCTTTTAAAACCTTGTTGGAGAAAGCAGACACTGGCAGACAGACGTTTGGGAAGTGACAGCCGGTGAGGATTAAAATATATCTATTTCTCAGTCCCCAAGTGTTCAGCTGTCTCGACAAACCGTGGCCGGTTCTGTTACTCTGATTCTAGATTCTTAATGTTAAACGTTTTAGATACTGCTGCATCACCTTTCACAAAAGATCCCTTTTCTATCTACGACCATAATTTTCAATCTTTCTTTGTCTTCCTTGTGGCTCAATGCCTTAACCCCAAATATCTGAGACAGATTTCAGTACCATCTTGCATTTAGATATTTTGACCTTTTTCTCTGTAACTCTCTCCTCCCCCAAAGAGTAAGTTCCCAACTTCTCATATCCGTTAATCAAAGATGTGATTTGCAGTTCCATGTCTCTTTCAGTTCTATGGGTTTTGGGGTGGGGAGGGGGGTGTTTAACTGAAAAGCACTTCAAAGGCTACAGAAGTGGGAGGCTGCTCCACATTTTAACTTCCTGTCAGTCATCTGCTTACAGGTGTCTGCCTTGAGAGTTTTGCACCACAGGGTGGCTTACAAATTCATTCAATTAGTCATAAATAAATAACATTGCCCCCTCATAAATAAATAAAATTGCACCTTTCCTTCCTACAAGAGGATAATACATGTATAAGATATCCCCTGTATCTTTTCTCCCACAGGGGAAAAAAAGGAGAATGTAGAGGGCAATTCCTGGCAGATGAATGACAGGAAGGGAAAAGGTTGAGGATTGCTTCCCTAGCCAACTTTTTCCACTCAAGATTGGCAGCCTGCCCAAGCTACCTTTGCTTTGTACGGTGGGGGGGGGGGAGGGACGGCAAAGAAAAGTAACATAGAAATCTGAAATATACTCGGAGTCGAGAGTGGATTTCATGCTCTTTATTCAGCTCATAGTGGTGAGGAGGAATGGAAGTTCCCCCAGAATGTCTGCTTTATATACATTATTTACACAATGGGCCCCACGTGATTGGCTAATTCTGGGATTCACCTGCAGGCCAATCAGGTTGCGGATTCACTTCCACCTGGAGCTGGATTGGGTGGCTCCTGTGGACCAATCAGACTGCTGCATTCTGGGTCCTATTGTTCTAGGACCAATCAGGCTGCTGCATTCTGGATCCTATTGTTCTAGGACCAATCAGGCTGCTGCATTCTGAATCCTATTGTTCTAGGACCAATCAGGCTGCTGCATTTTGGATCCTATTCAACTCAGTACATAACAAAATCCATGCGATGTCTCCTCGGAAAATGAGCTAGATATTTGTACTGGTGAACCTAAATCCATTCATAAATCAGATTCGGTTTCGGATATTACCAGAAGTGCCAATAAGTATCTGCACGCGTGCCTTGCGATTGTACCTTTTGTGCTTCCACCGTAGAGCGCAAAGTGGAGACCTCAGAAGGGAGATGGACAAGATGCAGCTTTGACATCTCCCCAACCAGGCCTGGGGAGAGGCTAGGATGCAGAGAATACCTCCATGAACCATTCTTAAGGAATTGGGCAGGTCACAGCAGGTGACAGAGGGGTGGGGTGGTTTTTCCCCAGCTGGTACTTGCTGGAACGCTTCCAGCCCCTCTCAGGTGGGCGCCATTGCCATTCTAAGAGGACAAGGGAAGCATTTGTGATGAGTTCTTTTTCTAGAAAAATAGCACTGCCAAAGCGGAAGGGGTGAAGTAATGAGGAGGCTGGTATGGTGTGAGCACTGCCCTCCTTGCTGCCTCATTTCTCCCCCATGTGGTAAGTGCATCAATGCTGGTGGTGGGAGGCCAAGACGTACGATGGTGGCCCTCCCTACCAGCCAGGCCTGAGGCAGAGGACAGCAAGTCTAACCCTTGGTCAGAACCCAGGGTGGCTTCCATGTCTCAGAGGTCATTTCCCCTGATTTTTGTTCAGTTCTGGCTCAAGTCCTCACTTAGGAAAACCAGAGACTCCAATCTGGAGGCCTGATTGACCTTTGCCCATCACATATATACAACTGAGATGCAGCCAAGCAAGAATTTACTCAAATTACAAGCAGCAATGGCAGCAACAGCACAGACAACACCACAATGAGATCTCAAAATTTAAAGTTGCCTCACTTCTTCCCAACAGCAAGACGTGTCAATGAAAGTCTACGTCCTTTGGCCTTACTAATGATTAATCCAGGCATAGGCAAACTCGGCCCTCCAGATGTTTTGGGACTACAACTCCCATCATCCCTAGCTAACAGAACCAGTGGTCAGGGATGATGGGAGTTGCAGTCCTGAAACATCTGGATGACTGAGTTTGCCTACGCCTAGATTAATCCATAGGTGCATTCTGGTAGTTAGTGACCCTTGTTTGCTCTGCCAAGACGCACAACATCTCAGAGTGTTGCGATGCAGCAATCGGGCAGGTGGCAGCAAGCAAGCTCCAGGAATTCCTCCAAAGGAGGAGAGCTTTGCAAAGAACAGGCCCACCAGGTGGCAGCAAACAGTTCGTCCTGTCATTCCCTGTAATATTTGTAGCTTCAGCCAATCAGAATGGCAGCTACCAGAAACCATCCATGCTGTGATTCTAGCCAGCAGGTATTACAAAGCTGCTATGACTGGTTCATGGCTTCTCACACTTTCAGCACCTGTTTCTGATTTGAACCCATGGGAATTACAACACAGGATGTACTAAAATGCAAAGGTTAACAAGTCAAGTGTTTTGAGTGTCCATTCAGTACAACCATCGTTGTTCAGCTGCTATTAGAATCAGTATTGGTCAAAAGACCGCGGCGTGGTTCACAATATAGAAGGTAAATGTCAACACAGTGGTACCTCGAGTTACAAATGCCTCAGGTTACAAACGCTTCAGGTTACAAACTCCGCTAAACTGGAAGAGTTACCTTGAGTTGAGAACTTTGCCCCTGGATGAGAACAAAAATCGTGTGCCGGCGGCGCAGCGGCAGCAAGAGGTTCCATTAGCGAAAGCGTGCCTCAGGTTAAGAAAGGTTTCAGGTTAAGAACGGACATTAAGTTCGTAACTAGTGGTACCACTGTACATCACGTAATAGCTCTACAACATGAAAATCAAAGCAGTTACAAAAAATGCAGTTGTAATAATCAAGGGCTGCGTGTCCCTTTTTGCAGTATGAGGTGAAATGGGATGTTTACCCCTCTTCATGGGCAGGCCAGCCCTGGTAATAAGAAGAAACACATAACAATTGGCTCTTGTGGACAGCAACACGATCTCTAAGGAGATATGTTTTGGGACTACAATTCCCATCATCCCTAGTTAGCAGGATCAGTGGTCAGGGATGATAGGAACTGTAGTCAGAAAACAGCTGGAGACCCAGGTTTGGGCAACATTGCTATAGAGAGCAAAGCCTCCTGGCGAAGAGTTTGCAGGAGTGAGAGAAGTTACATGGAACTTTAAAGAGAGCAGTGAGTTATTATTTTTTATTATTTTTTATTATTTTTTATTATTATTATTTGTACCCCGCCCATCTGGCTGGGCTTCCCCAGCCACTCTGGGCAGCTTCCAACAAAGATTAAAAATACATTAAAATGTCACACATTAAAAACTTCCCTAAACAGGGCTGCCTTCAGATGTCTTCTAAATGTCAGGTAGTTGTTTATCTCTTTGACATCTGATGGGAGGGCGTTGCACAAGGCGGATGCCACTACCAAAAAGGCCCTCTGCCTGGTTCCCTGTAACCTCACTTTTCGCAGAAGGCCCTCAGAGCTGGACCTCAGTGTCCAGACTGAATGATGCAGGTGGAGACGCTCCTTCAGGTATATGGGCCGAGGCCGTTTAGGGCTTTAAAGGTCAGCACCAACACTTTTGACTTGTGCTCAGAAATGTACTGGGAGCCACTCATCATTAGGCAAAAAATAAGTCACACATAGATTATATACAGGGCTGCCTTCACCTGTCTTTTAAAGGTAATATAATAATAAAATAATATAAAATAATAATTTATTATTATTATTTATATCCCACCCATCTGGCTGGCTTTTTCACCTCCTTGACATCTGATGGGAGGGCATTCCACAGGGCAGACGCCACTACTGAGAAGGCCCTCTGCCAGGTTCCGTGTAACCTCGCTTTTCACAGTGAGGGAACCGCCAGAAGGCCCTTGGAGCTGGACCTCAGTGTCTGGGCAGAACGATGGGGGTGGAGACGCTCCTTCAGGTATCCTGGGACAAGGCCATTTAGGGTTCTAAAGGTCAGTGCCAACACTTTGAATTGTGTTCGGAAACATATCTATTTGTACAAGACCTCATAAAGAATCTGCTCACTTTAATAACAAACAAACAGATCCGCAGGGTCCCTTCCCGCTCTACAATTCTAGGATTCTAGGCTTGTTCAATACCAAATCTTCCTGCCTTCAGTTACATTGCTAACACTGTAATCTTTTTTCAAAAATGTGCAAAGAGTACAGCTGTAGTTCGGATTCCCTCCCTCCCCAGCAAAAAGCCACAATATGCTTCTTTTTTTGCTTCGTTCCCAGTTGAAGGGGCCACATCTGTTCTCCTCTCAAGGCAGATGGATGTTTCCTTACAATATCAGAGCTGATATTTCAAGAGGAAATTTCAACAATTTGGGTGTCATAGTTTAATCCAATAGAGCTGATTAGACTTTTAAAAAAGTTTCCTGCACTAATTGACTGATAGAACACTAGCTTCCTGAACAGACTCTTATTCATTTCACTGCATATGCTGCGATGCGAGTTACTGAAAGTCACACAGAAAAAAAATTAAGTCCAGGACAGCTAACCCAGTTCTTTCAATTTTCCAGCATTTCTCTTGAACTTTATTAATGAGAGGCTGATAGGAAGCCATTTCCCAGGCTTTTCTGTTGACGTTGACTTAATAATTTGCTACTATTGTTTTGCGGCACTTTAAAAACTGGGCTGTGTACACATTGCCATTTACTCTGCAGCCAACGTGCTCATGCTGCTGGCTTTTGAGTCCCAGTATACACGTTAGCCACAATCCACATCTCTCATAGTTTCGTAGTTCTGTAGAGCTGCCCATTCCCTGGACCCACCCAGTCAATCACTTGCGGCCAAGATAATCAAGGGGGGGCGTGGTCAGCCACGCTTATTCAAGCTTGCTTCAAAACTGATCCAGTACAGATGGAACAGACATTGCACTTGATGCCACCACTGGGCTGGATAATAAATAATAATAAAATAATAATAATTTATTATTTATACCCCGCCCATCTGGCTGGGTTTCCCCAGCCACTCTGGGCGGCTTCCAACAGAACACTAAAATACAATAACCTATTAAACATTAAAAGCTTCCCTAAACAGGGCTGCCTTCAGACATCTTCTAAAAGTCTGGTAGTTATTTTTCTCTTTGACATCTGGTGGGAGGGCGTTCCACAGGGCGGGTGCCACTACCGAGAAGGCCCTCTGCCTGGTTCCCTGTAACCTCACTTCTCGCAGCGAGGGAACCGCCAGAAGGCCCTCGGCGCTGGACCTCAGTGTCCGGGCAGAACGATGGACATGGATATGCTCCTTCAGGAATACTGGACCGAGGCCATTTAGGGCTTTAAAGGTCAGATGATTTTATGTATTATGCCTAAATTATTGGAAAATTGAGACAGGTGCCTGGTCTATTTCCCGACCCTGCTGCCAAATGGCTTCATCGTCCAACCTCAGTGCAATGTTTTCAAAATAGTGCTAGGTAGTTTCAAAGAAATTTCGAGTGGGAAGCAGGTGGCGCTGTGGTCTAAACCACTGAGCCTCTTGGGCTTGCCGATCAGAAGGTGGGCAGTTCAAATCCCCAAGATGGGGTGAGCTCCAGTTGCTCTGTCCCAGCTCCTGCCAACCTACCAGTTCAAAAGCACACCAGTGCAAGCAGAAAAATAGGTACCACTGTGACGGGAAGGTAAATGGCATTTTCATGCACTCTGGCTTCCATTGCGGTGTCCCGTTGCACCAGAAGTGGTTTAGTCATGCTGGCCACATGACCGGGAAAGCTGTCTGCAGACAAACTCCAGCTCCCTCGGCCTGAAAGCGAGATGAGCGCCACAACCCCATAGTCGCCTTTAACGGGACTTAACCATCCAGGGGTCCATTACCTTTAACTAGAAAAGCACTATTTCTGACAACTTGGCCCACAATGGCCAGAGTTGCAGCACAAATCTACCCTACAACTCAGAGTGTTATGAAAGAGCTCTGCTCCTAACCTAACTAGTGTAAAGATTAGCAGTAATAAGGGAGTCTTCCATTCCCTTTGACGTTGGCTAGCATCCAGACATCACCTTGCCAACAAAGGTCCGTATAGTTAAAGCCATGGTTTTCCCAGTAGTGATGTATGGAAGTGAGAGCTGGACCATAAAGAAGGCTGATCGCCAAAGAATTGATGCTTTCGAATTATGGTGCTGGAGGAGACTCTTGAGAGTCCCATGGACTGGAAGGAGATCAAACCTATCCATTCTTAAGGAAATCAGCCCTGAGTGCTCACTGGAAGGACAGATCGTGAAACTGAGGCTCCAATACTTTGGCCACCTCATGAGAAGAGAAGACTCCCTGGAAAAGACCCTGATGTTGGGAAAGATTGAGGGCACTAGGAGAAGGGGACGACAGAGGACAAGATGGTTGGACAGTGTTCTTGAAGCTACAAACATGAGTCTGACCAAACTGCGGGAGGCAGTGGAAGACAGGCGTGCCTGGCGTGCTCTGGTCCATGGGGTCACGAAGAGTCGGACACGACTAAACGACTAAACAACAACAAAAGCATCCAGACAACTTTGCCACTTGTGCACACACCCACGCAGCTTTTGTTTTCTCAAAGAGGAGCTTCTACAAGTCACTTGAAACTACCAATTCAAAAGCCATTTGTCAGTGGCACGGTTGTCAATAGCTGAAGCTGTGAGTGGAGGTGATGGAAAAAAATTCGCTGGATGTACTAAGCCAAAATATCTATTTGCGTCCTGGCCAATATGCCTCAGTTCAGGGCAGGTAAGGTTAATGGCGTTTGAATTTTGCCAGTCCTTTTCTAGCTTGGCCATAATAAAAATATTTTATTGATAAAGGCACTTAGATAAAAAGTTAGAAACTTTGTAAAGCTTATTAAGATAGACTTCAAAATATTGAGATAATTCATTCCAATCCTGAAATGCTAATTGAGGGTTTGGGCACAATGACTATACTGCCGAAACACTTTCTACCAAGGAATCAGTATTTTTTATGCTTTATTTTCCCAAGCATTTAGCAATCTGACTTTAGTCATGTTTTAAAGGGCGGGGGGGGGAATCACTTGTGCATTCCAAGAAAGTAGATAAATGTCAGCTGGAGAAACCCAGTGGCAAGCTACCAAATAAGCTGTCTAAATAGCGAAAGAGAAATCTAGGAGATTTAGGTTTTGAAGTGCCAGTTAAAAACACTGAATAAAAATGCTTTAAGCCTCTGAGACAGAGCCTGCCTTTCATTCTGTCTAAATAACGATCATCTACGTGATATGCTTTTCGCATATCACAGACCGGCAAGATAACCAATTTTCAAAGTGTGAAGTTGAAATTCTAATCTAAAGCCTTTTTCAAAAACCCTCACGCCTTGCGCAGAGGGAGATGTGGGGGAAGCTTCCGCAAAAACTAACAGCATGTCGCACAGAAGGAAGGAAGGAACTCTTTAGGACGGGGTGGGGAATCTCGTGGCCCTTCAGATGTTGCTGTTGGACTCCCGCTTCCATCAGTCCTATCCAGCTGGGCCAATGCGCAGGGAATTAGTTAAACACAATTTTTCAATTGACTGTGAAGGTCTGTAATTAGAAAGTGCATGCCCATTATGCAAGGAGCCATTTACCAATCCAGCTAGGGCTGGCCCACCCGTAAGGCGAGGTGAGGCAATGGCCTTAAGCTCTGGGCAGCTGGGAGAGCCGCTGTTATGTATTGAGTTGAATAGGATCCAAAATGCAGCAGTCTGATTGGTCCTAGAACAATAGGATTCAGAATGCAGCAGTCTGGTCCTAGAACAATAGGATTCAGAATGCAGCAGTCTGATTGGTCCGCAGGAGCCACCCAATCCAACTCCAGGTGGAAGTGAATCCGCAACCTGATTGGCCTACAGGAGAATCCCAGAATTAGCCAATCACGTGGGGCCCATTGTGTAAATAATGTATCTAAAGCAGACATTTCGGGGGAACTTCGATTCCTCACTACTATGAGCTGAATAAAGAGCATGAAATCCACACTCGACTCCGAGTATATTTCAGCCGGCAAATCTGGGCCAGCCCTGAATCCAACATACAGCTTTGCAGCCATTGTATAGTAAGGACTTGGCCCCTTCAGTTCTGGGGGAATACAAGCAAGCCTCAACAGCTTACATTTTTGTGATTTGTTTTCCTTAGGAGAGTTTAGGTGATTACCGTATTTTTCGCTGTATAAGACGCACCAGACCACAAGACGCAACTAGTTTTTGGAGGAGGAAAACAAGAAAAAAAATATTCTGAATCTCAGAAGCCAGAACAGCAAGAGGGATCGCCGTGCAGTGAAAGCAGCAATCCCTCCTGCTGTTCTGGCTTCTGGGATAGCTGCGCAGCCTGCATTCGCTCCATAAGACACACACACATTTCCCCTTACTTTTTAGGAGGGAAAAAGTGAGTCTTATAGAGCAAAAAATACGGTAATTCAGGTGCCTTCATGTTGCCTATTTCAGACTCTCCAATTGTCTCTATTTCCAAAGACAGTCCCAGATTTACAGAAGCCATTCCAGTTTCTGATCTGATCCAGGAATGTCCCACTTTTCCTTAGGACGTCCCTATTTTCATGGGAGAAATGTTAGAGGGTATGGAGTTATGCGACTCCCCCCCCCCCAGCCTTCTGAAGGCGGCCCTGTGGAGAGAAGTTTTTTTAATGTTTATTGTTTTTATATATGGTGGAAGCTTCCCAGAGTGGCTGGGCAACTTGTTGTGGAATAGGACATCCCTATTTTCATCAGAGAAATGCTGGAGGGCATGTATTTGGCTGGATCCACACTGTACATCCTATACTGCCTGATGTTCTGTTTTGATTTTTCTCTATGTGTCACTTTGTATGGGCTTGACGCAAATATAAATGCCATTTTGGCTGTGGACTGAAAGACAGCAAACCAGTTGCATAAGGGGAGTCATATTTTTCCAATATCGGGCTCAGGCTGAAACTCTAGCTGAGTCTAGAGCACATTGCAATCATCCGGTCTCATCCAAAGGCTTATGTCACCATCGCCACATCTGCTTCCTCTAGGAACAGACAGCTGATGCACCAGCAAAAGCACTCCTTGTTACGGCTGCCACCTGGCCATCCAGGAGCAAAGCCAGGGCCATCAGAAATTCAATATCTAATACACATGTAATAAACAGCAAGGTGGCCTTGCTGCAGGCTGATGTTGTCTTGCAATGGGTAGGAGAAATAATTGCTGCTGGAAACAGAGGCGGATTAAAGAGGAGACAGAAGCTTTTGCAAGGAGGAGCGCCCATCCTTGAAGAACTGTTTGCTTATTTAACTATAAAAGCACCTTAATAATGAAGAGACCTCTGCTTCCTAATAGAAGCAGCATGTGCAATATTTAGATTTATAGCACCATGAGCTTTATATCTTGCATTGTACATATCCTTACTTTTATGTAACTGTGTTGTCATTCTTTTCTTTTTTTAATCAGAGCATTAGCTGGAGATTCGGCAATTTGTTATTATAGCATAGGTAAAGGTAAAGGGACCCCTGACCATTAGGTCCAGTCGTGGCCGACTCTGGGGTTGCAGTGCTCATCTCGCTTTACTGGCCTAGGGAGCCGGCGTACAGCTTCCGGGTCATGTGGCCAGCATGACTAAGCCGCTTCTGGCGAACCAGAGCAGCGCACGGAAACGCCGTTTACCTTCCCGCCAGAGCGATACCTATTTATCTATTTGCACTTTGTGCTTTCAAACTGCTAGGTTGGCAGGAGCAGGGACCGAGCAACGGGAGCTCACCCTGTCGCGGGGATTCGAACCACCGACCTTCTGATCGGCAAGTCCTAGGCTCTGTGGTTTAACCCACAGCGCCACCCGCGTCCCCTTATTATAGCATATGATTTCAGAAATTCAGAAGAGGCATGCTGGCCTCAGGTTGGTTCAAAGCCCAGCTTCACCCCTGTAATCTCAATATTTTCTTGGGTGGTCGTGGTTGCCCAGTGGGAAGAGAAAGCCATTCTGCCCATCCTGAGAGTCAAAGAGAGGGAAAACGCATTACCCGAGCCTGTTTCCGGGGATGCTTATGGGAAACAAACTTCCCCAATAATGCAATTGCTGAGACAGTCTTGGCACCTGCCTTAGTGTCTCTGAACATGTGCAAAGTGTCTCCCTTGCACAGTATTAGAAAGCAGTGCCTCCTTGCCACGCACACAAGCTCAAGCCTTGGCAATCGTCATTTTCTTACTAGGGAAGCAGTGCCTCTTCTGTAACCTGCATTTTTCTTCATTTGCACACACACAGAGGCACACTGTGCTCCATGGAGACAAGAAGCTGCAGAGGAGCATGAAGGAAATGTTTGTAAGCCTTTCGGTTTAAATCCTCCAGTCATTCTAAATTAAGCCTCATCATCTGCATGCTTTGTAGTGCTCCAGACATGAAGCACCTGCAAAAAGACAACAGTGGAACGGTATTGCCACAACATCGCGGCATTCCCATGGCGGGTAATAGACGTACTGCAGCGTGGAGAAGAATAATGGAATGTGCTGTTGCTTAAAAGGAGGGATTGTATTAATCTACAAGCAGAACAGGTAGCTGGATGCAAGGGAGACCAGCGCAGCACTTAAAAACTTGACACCTGTTAAGGATGATAGCTTTCTATTAGCAATCTTGGTTCCTTTTACTGCCAGAATACAGCAAGGAGATTGAGAAATGCAAGATTCGTATGTTGCTTAAGCACGGTGCTTCCTATCCGGTCGACTGAGAACAACTAATGTATTCAAGCTGAGCAACACTCCAATGAGGGCTAGACAAATTCATGGAGAACAGGTCCGTTTAATGGACCCTCCAGGTTCTGAGCAGCTATGCCTCTGAATGCTGAGTGTTTGGAAGGAAGCACAGTAGATAGATGTTTTCTTCATGCCCCGCTTGTGGAGTTCCTGGAAGAATCAGAACAGGCTGAATAGCCTGTTAGACTAGGACTGCTGTGATCCAGTAGGGTTCTTGTTGGTCAGACCTGGGACATGATACCTCTTCTTACTCTGAGGTCTAACAGCGACCTAGATTGTCTGTGTGTGTACTGATATGCAATGTCCAGATACTTTATATTCAAAAGAGCTTGACTTTCATAAACATAACTGAGAAGAATCTATCTACAATCTCATACTTATTCCCATTGCTCCTTAGAGAGCACAGGTTTATCCCTATTAACATTGAGGGATCTTCCTCCATCTGCTTCAACCCAGACAGACCACACTGACACCTTGTCCTCAGCAGCATTCACAGAAACCTCTCCCAGTAGCCATTCTCCCTCACACACAACAAAGGAGAACAGAAAACAGTTAAAAAACGACAGTTACTGGAATAACAATCACAACAGAATGGAATGCCGCTCTCATGTGACTCACAGTCAGCCAATCCCACGGGAGAGTTACTGCCCAAGGGGGGGAAACCCATGATAAAAACACACAGAAATTCAATATAAAAAAATATCCCTATTTCAAGATACTTGACCATTATTCTTGACGGACTCGTAGTAGGAAGCTGAAGAGTCTCCAAGAAAGGAGCTGGGCAAGGAACTGTCACAGTCTTGTGCTGCCGGTCATGGCAGAGCTAAGTGGAAGGAGAAACCACCCATCCAGCCAAATCTCGTGGGGTACTTGCCTGGAGGCAGAATCCACATACAAGGTCCTGTCCAGGCCTGTCCTAAGGTCTAGAGTATCTCAGTTCATGTAGTCAGACAATCTGTAGGTCAAGAAAGCTGAGGGTCCAAGGTCGCAAGAAGCAGCAAGGTCTGGTCAGGAACGATGAATGTTGTTTCCAGCAACTGACTGAGGCTGGAAACCCTGCTTAAGAAAGCTGGAGCCCGCTGGTTCTCATCAGGAGCAAGAAGGCTGATCAGCAGCAGGTGGAGTCACTTCACTCTCTGCTCCTTCAGGCTGCTGCTCAGCAGGTGAAGCCGACTCATGACAGGAACCAGACTAGGTTCAGGGCTTTTGGCCTGCCACTAGAGATCAGGAGTTCAGCTGAGCCCAAAGCCAGCAGACAGGATTCCCCAGAAGAAGCTCTTGTACCATCAGAGCCAAGATCCTCACAGATGCCTTCCTACAGCACCAAAGGCTATGAAACAGGGAAATTTGGGTCCTTGAAGCAGTGCTTTTTTTCCTTAAAAAATGTTTAGGGGTACTCTCATTTTCACTGAAGAAAATCACCGTTTTATAGCTCAAATCGGGGAGAAATAAATACAGTAAAAACAACGAAACTGACCAATCACCGTGCTAGATTCCAACTCAGGCATAGGCAAGCTCCAGCCCTCCAGATGTTTTTGGAACGACAATTCCCATCATCCCTAGCTAACAGGACCAGTGGTCAGGGATGATGGGAATTGTAGTCTCAAAACATCTAGAGGGCCAGAGTTTGCCTGTGCCTGTTCCAACTCCTACTTCACACATTAAACGCTTGCTTCTGTCTTAGACTCAGGAAACACCGTGACAGGAAATGAAGCTGCCATCAAGGGTAGTAACAGAACTGATGATTCACCATGCTAGAGAATAAACTTTTTTTAAAAAAGTTTATTCTCCCATTAGATTCACAAAATGTTTAGGGGTATGCGTACCCCTGTGTACCCCCATAAAAAGCACTTCCTTTAAGAATCTGCGCTTATCCACAAGGGGGTGGAGCTTTGGAGAGGTGGGAAGGGCAGAGGCTTAAAAAGGCTAAGTCTTTTAGTAAAAAACCGGAGGCATTCCTTTTAGGTATAATCACAAAAGATATTCCTGACAATCAAAGGAAAGTATTCCTCTATGCAACAACAGCTGCCAGGATGCTCATAGCAAAAAATTGGAAAGGGAGAAAAATTCCATCAATGAAAGAATGGCAAATTAAATTTTGTGAATATATACATCTGACAAGACTCACAGCATTCATAAGGGGACAATCGGACCAAAAATTATTAAAAGAATGGGGATGTGCTAAAGAGTATATGAAAAAAACATTGTTCTGGAGTAAGTATATCGGTATATAACGAATGAAGCTTTGCAGGGTTAAAGAAAGAGAAAAATGGTGCAAAAAGTATACAGATAGAGGTAATCTACATTAGACACGACAATTTAGAAAGAGTAAAAATTTCAAGGTCTCAGAACAAAGGAAGGAAGTCAATATGTGTATACGTAGGTAACAATTAGAATGATGATATGGTTTTATTTGTAGATGTGTGTCTTTGTTTTTTGTTTTGTTTTTCTTTTTCCCTTGTGTTTTTATTTTTTATTTTTGCTTGTTTGTACTGCTTTATTTTGGATTCAATGTTTGTAATTTTTGTTGTAATTTTGCATTGAAAATAAAAATATTTAAAATATTATTTTTTATTTTTTTTTAAAAAAGGCTAAGTCTGCTCTCAACTTTTCTTGGAGCATGTTTTTATCTTGGAGTTATGATGGCTCTGTGGGATTTGACATTGAGCCAGAACATGGTAAAGTAGCACCTAAACTGCTGTATAGAGGTATGTCTTCTCTCTCTATTACCCATGCGGCTACCCTCCCAATCTGCCAAAGGTAAAGGGACCCCTGACCATTAGGTCCAGTCATGGCTGACTCTGGGGTTGCAGCACTCATCTCGCTTTATTGGCCAAGGGAGCCGGCGTACAGCTTCCGGGTCATGGGGCCAGCATGACTAAGCCACTTCTGGAGAACCAGAGCAGCGCACGGAAACGCCGTTTACCTTCCCGCCAGAGCGGTACCTATTTATCTACTTGCACTTTTGACGTGCCTTCGAACTGCTAAGTTGGCAGGAGCAGGGACCGAGCAACGGGAGCTCACCCCGTCATGGGGATTCGAACCGCCGACCTTCTGATCGGCAAGTCCTAGGCTCTGTGGTGTAACCCACAGCGCCACCCACGTCCCTCCCAATCTGCTAGGCTTTTTAAAAATCTAAGAATGGCACTGAACTTTTAAATTGGAAGGGTGGTGGTTCAGAATGTTACAAAGGAATTTTCTCCCTATTTCTGTGTGGAAAACCAACCACCAATACAAGGTGAGCCGGGCCCTGCTCTTAGGTTCAGCTTGGCTGGTCATGAACTCACCCTGACACCATTTATCCTCAGTCTTCACTGCTGCCAAACTTTATTCTACAAGTGGGGAGAAGCTAAGCCAGTTTCAGAGAAGATTGGGGAAAGTAGAGGTTTCCTCTGTTCATGACACCACTACGGAGGCTTCCATGCATGCCAGAATCTCAGACTACATTGACCTTTTTGTGCAGAACCTGCTGCCTAGACCTTCTCATGTTTGGCTACCAAAAGCTGACAATCAGGGAAACAGCAGGTCCTAGAGAATATCTGTGACTGTCAGCAAAGAGGGAGCAAATCTCAGAATGTCTGTTTCTCTTTCTAAAAAATAAAATAAAAATTGGGACTGCTGGGCTCTCATGCTGATTTGTGGAGAGGTTATGTTCAGTGATTTCCTCCAGAGTCTGTTTGTCCCAGATAGTTCCTTCTGAACTTTGTCTGCTGAAATAACTCACAAGTGACCTGTAACTTTCCGTTAATGTTGAATTTTATTGTACATTTATGCACAAAATCAATGAAGTAATAATGTGACCACAAAGGAAACACCAGGATCAAAGAACTCAAAGGAGGTAAAATATGAAAATGAAAGCTGCACACCAGCAGCAATCAAGGCCCAATGAACTTTTTGTTCTGGTTAGATGGAACACCCACCTATTTCTTAGGATAGCAATTGTTGCAAAGGCAAGGATGCTCTAAGCAGGCATGTCCAAAGTCTGTTTTGGGGGCCAGTTTAGGCCCCTGTGGCAGTTTATTTCCTGAGGTAAAATCCTAAAAAAAGGTCAACAGCTTTGGTCGGCCCTCACGGCCCTTCATTTCATCAAATCTGGCCCTCTTTGAAAAAAGTTTGGACACCACAGCCTAAGGAGAGCAACTTGTACTCCAAAAAATACCACAGGTTTTTACTCTTGAACAAACCTCTCTCTGAATTGCCTTCCTGAAAATGACTCCCATCTGTCAAGTAATTATTAATGTCCCCTAGTCTAAAGCAATGAAATATTATTCACTGATTTAAGTCCTAACGGTAGATTATTTTATAAAGAAATAACAGAATGAGGAAAAATATGAATACCTTGACAATAGAAAGGTGCTATTATCTTATCTCATCCTGTATCCTTGTGACTCAGGGTAACAAAGCATCAACACTATTTCTTGAACAGAATTATAACAATAGGACTTCACCACAGAAGAATCTTTCTCTGCCACCCGCCTGCTAAGTTTGACATGGTTCTGTATATAATAATTCCATGAGCACCTACATCATTCTGCTTTAGAGCTTATTTTATTTTTTAATTATTGACATTGATCCAAATATAACTCTCATGGGCCTTAACCAGGTCGTAGCTGGATTTATAATCTTTCCTAGGGATTGATTGTTCTTTCCAAGAGCAAAACAGATGTAAATTATGAGCCCCTGGCATTATGACGCAACCTTGGTCTGAGTTGGCAATAGCAACCGTTCCTATATGAAAGAGAGAGAGTCCTTCATTATATAGACTTACAGAAGGGCTGGATCCAGCGCGGAAGAAAATTACTTCAGAATAGTTTCAGCTTCACTGCCCACAGCAATCATTAAGTTCACTGTGTTGAGCATTGCTGCAGTTCTAAATTTAGTGAAATGCTGCTTTCAATCAGGCTAATGAACATAGTATTCACCCTCTTCAGACTTGCCAGCATTCTCACTCTTTGGTTTTCCAAGCAGTCCACAACAGATAGGCTGGGATCACTGGAAACATTCAAGCCTACTGAGAGGACTTACCGTATTTTTCGCTCTATAGGAAGCACTTTTTCCCCTCCAAAAATTAAGGGGAAATGTGTGTGCGTCCTATGGAGCGAATGCAGGCTCCTTGGCTTCAGCGATAGCAACGCGAAGCCTCCGAAGCACAGAGGGAGCGCTCCCTCCGCACTCCGGAAGCTTCGCGTTGATTTCACTGAAGCCTGGAGAGCGAGAGGGGTCGGTGAGCACCGACCCCTCTCGCTCTCCAGGCTTCAGGGATAGCCGCCTGAAGCCTTCGGAGCGCAGTGCAAGTTCCTGCTGCGCTCCGCAGGCTTCAGGTTTCTTTCGCTGAAGCCAGGAGCTTCAGCAGAGAGGGAGAGCTGCGCAGTGCCCCTTCAGCCAAACGGGAGGAGAAATGGAAGGGGCTTCGTTTCTCCTGCCGCTTCACTGAAGGGGCGCTGAGCAGAGAGGAGGAGAATTTTTTTTTCTTGTTCTCCCCCTCTAAAACAAGGTGCGTCCTATGGTCAGGTGCGTCCTATAGAGTGAAAAATACGGTAGGTTTGGCCCACTAGCATATATTTACACGAGGGATGCTCTATAGTGCAGGTTCATCACAGTTAAGGCTAGGGAGGGAGGAGAAATAAAGCGCAGGTCACATTTAAAGTCAAACTTGCTGAATTTGCACATCCTGATATAATATACAAACCGAAACACAGCTGTCCTTCAAAAACTGCACTTTTCCAAATTTTGCAATGCAGTTTTCTGGCCAAGTAATGTGTACAAATATGCATGTCCTTGGGAGATGTGTGCATGAAAATGCAGATATTGGTGGAAATGACGTTCAAAAATAAATTATATAGGGGGAAATTGCTTTGCAAAAATTGCAAACCAATGAGCATATTGTCACGCAGCAGTAAATTAATCACACAGAGTCTTCTTCATAAACAGAATAAAACTTTACTGAAGAAAATAAACTTGTTCAGGAATAGCATAGTTAAAGAGCATACACAGAGTGCTCATAACAGCTATCTGGCTCTTCACAGAGGCACAGTCTTAGTGATTTACTAGAGTCCTGGAGCCAGTCTGTCTGCCTTAGCTTTACATAGCAAAAACAACAGCACTGTTCCACAGACTATTCCATACACAATCCATACAGCTCTCTGACTAAGGCCCATAGAGAGGCTGGCTACTTTTATAGGGAGAATGAGTCATCACCCAAGATGAATCACAAGTCACAGTGACTTAGCAGTTTGCTGTTAACAGCAGTTAGCAAGCTTAGGTTTGAATGATTGTGTCGACCTTGTAAGCCTTACTGCTGATCTGCTCTCAAGAACCTTTGTCTCATGACACATATTTGGAGATATTTGCACTAAAATGCTGATGACATTTTTCGAGGAATTACAAAATGTGGGAATCTGGAGAAGTGAAATTAAGAGTAGAAACAGAGAGAAATGGAAACTGACCTATTGACCCATCCTTAGGCTTGGATGCAAGAACATTGGAGGAGGATTAGGTGAGATACCATCACAATTTCCTTGTCTCCCAACACTGCCTTGGACACACTATTGTGGGTAACACAGCAGTAGAAAGCCCCAAGAGCACTAGGCAACGCTACCAGGGTGGCAGGCTGGTGGAAAACATCTGGTTCCGGGGGGCCACCAGGGGGCGCATTGGAAGATGGCCGACAATAACATCTCTCCGACCCACACGAGGTAATTAAGAGGCTGATATGGGAGTATGCAGCCTCCCTTACCCCCCCCCCAAGGGAGTTGGGGGGACTGCCTTGCCAGCTGTGTCCATAATTCACCCCCGGATTCGAAAGAAGGGGGTCTGGGTACTTGGCACGAAGCCCTCGAGTGAGGCCGGCTCTCCCTGACGCTGTCTCTAATTCGCGCACTGGTTCGCATTAGCTCGAAATATATAATTGGAAATATATAATTGGAAAGAAGCTAATGCACATACATCAAGTGAAGATCGGGAGTAAAGACTGCTGATTAATGGATCTCTGTGAGCGGAGAGACGGGCTGGACAAATAAATCAAGCGATGAATCATCATTAAAAGACTGGTATGTTGGAGTGAAACGGAAAGGGGTGGAGGAAAAAACTTTTCTTTTTTTTGGTCTTATGTGAGTCTCAATAACCCTCCCCTCCAGAGAGAAGAATCGTTGCAATTTATTAATCACAAGCAGGAGTTCAAGAACTGTGTGGAATGAATTACTGATCAAAGAGAGGACTGGTAGAAATATCGGGGAATGGAGGAAAGTTTTATGACGCAGTTATAAATGGCGTCTCGCTAAGATAGGCTTGCCTATAGAAGGACGAGGGGGAGGAGGACCAGGGTCATCGGAATGTGAATGTATGGCTATCGGAATGTGATCTTGACCAGACAGAGCCCCCTG